ATTTTAAACATATAACAATTAGCGGGAATAGTGATATAATTAGAGCTTTAACCTGCTTATATTTAATCAGAGAAAGATGATATTGAGATGCATTCAAATCACGGGACGACATTTTGTTGAGTGAAAATGGGACGTTGTAATTTGTTGCTTGGACGTAAAAAGTTGTAGTTTATTGTCTAAATGTAAAACGTTTTAGTTTGTTGCCTAAACTTAAAGATGGAGTAGGTAATTTTGAAGAAACCAGCTCGAGTGTGCTAGAATTTGAAAATACACAACCGGAACAAATCTGCCACTTCCTTACAGAGCCCCTCCTCCAACACACACGAACGCGCACATGACCAATGAGGGCACGAGATAAGTTTGTGCACAGATGGAAGGCTGACAGGCAGGTAGGTCATCCAGTTACTTTAGCCGGGCCGGCTCAGATGATTGGTCGTGCTTTTTACAGCGCCACGGCTTCCAGAGATGACATTTTTTTATGGATTTTTTGTCAAAGCATTTAATATATTCATTGCTATCGGGATGTTGAGAGCATTCCATGGAATATAACAACAAGTGTATCTCGAGCCGGTTTCTCAAACTTACCTACCCCACCTTTAAGACGTTGCAATTGTAGCTTGTTGCCTGAATAAAAAAAGTGTAGGTTTGTTGGCTGAACGTAAGTAAGACCTTGTAGTTTGTTGCCTTACCCTACAGGAGTTGTAAATCGGGTAGTAGTTTGTTGCCCTAATGTAGCGAGACAGAGTAAAGAGAGCGAGAGAGCTGGAGAGAGCACACCTTTATCTATTTAATATAGATGTAAAAAATAAAGTAAGAAATCATTCCAATGTGTAGGCTACTATAGGACAGTGAAAAAAAAAAAAAATCAAAAGGGGAGTGATTAGTAAAATATGCATAAATAAAAAGAAAGAATCCTAACTTGGTAACATAAGATAAGAATAAACAAGTTTAAATGATTTGTTATTGGTTGTGATCATATTCTAAAGCAACACGTTCTCACTACCAACCCGTCACATGTTGACGGTCGGTCAGGGCCCCTCCCCGTCACTCTATTACGGACAGGGTACCCCTTGAGAGTCAGTTGTCAACGGGCAGGGCATCCCATTGACTTGCATAGAGCTCCCTGAACGTTGGTAATAGACGAGTTGGGATCGCGGTGAAATGCTCTCCGCAGATCCATTCTCACAGCGTTTATCAACCTTTTTCTAACTCAATATCAAGCCACACTTATTGTTTCTACTTCTTTATTTTAATTGAATAATGTAGGACTTTTGTTGCCGTCAGTTATGGGGAGAGTAGGGGCTCAGAATACTGAAATCTGTATTGTTTCATAGTTTTTTCCTTCTAATTTTGTATTCTTTTCTAAACCACACACTGTTATTTACTCAACAATAACACATAATTATCCTTGTGTTTATTTATTTGCTTGATTAATAAACACAAGTTGGAGTCCGTCAGGACCGAGGGTCGGAGCAGCTCAGTTGCTTTAGAGAATTTTACACCCGGAAGTAAGTATTCTCTCCGCTTCGCTTGACAAACCCCGTGATAGTCCTCAAGCTCTGTGATTGGATGTTACGCCGAGCGTCGAACAGCACTATGAAATGGGATGGAACCAAGGCAGACTGTCCAAAACTGGATTTGAACGGGTCCACCCCGTCCCCCCCTCCCACACCCCGTCCCCAGAACTACACATGCTGGCTATTGTGTTTCGCAACATGTTCTATGGCACGTCTCTACTGGGAATTGTAGTTTTAAAAGACGTTTTCGTATTTCCCATAATAAGAAGTTGCCAGTATTAAACTGTGTACATCCCTGGAGGTTTAGGGGATAGGAACACTCACATTTAAACTATATAATTAATAAATAGGGTGAAAATTGCTTGTGCCCAGCATTAATATACTGTAGCGTATATACCCACATATATATATACCTCCTGTTGTTAATTGATAAAACCTGAAACATGCACTTGTCAAGATTCAGAGGCAAATTTTGCAAATCTGGCAGTAGCCATCGATCATATTAAGATAATATATACTTTATTGATCCCAAGTTGGAAACATTTTCGTTACAGCAGCATGTGTAACAGTTGTAAATATGCAGTGGTGTTTATTTGTAAAATCATTTAGTATGATCACACAAATTCTGTTTTATATTTAATAATTCTGTGTTCTTTATTTATTGATTGTTCAATACCTGACAAGGCCGGAGATGACAACAACTTGGGTCGCAGGTTCCTCAACAGTGCATTTACAGACATTCTATCAATATGTGTGTGTACCTCCACCTTAAAACTGTCATATTCTGCACATTTCTTATACTATCTACGGATACATCTTATAAAGAAGTATAAATACGTATGTTTACATCAGTTAAATAAGTGCTTGAACATTACAGTAGTTTAACATTGCAGAAAGCAATATATTAGTACTTTGTCAGGCTTAATATTTATACCCCCAAAGCTTTTTTTCTTATTCAAATAAGGCCTTAACCTAAAGTATTCTTTTATTTTTAAATAAAGCCTTTATTGTTTGCCGTCTGGTGTCTTCCTATTAATAATCTAATTAATTACAATAATACATTTCAATAATGTTGCTTTTAACCACCAGGTGTCCCTTTCTATCGCTGTGCACCGTTATGGTTTAAATTATACCGAATATTACTGATTGGATCAAATAAAAAAGTCAGCCGAATTATTATTGATACTGGCAAGGACACTTATATTGTTGGAAGAGAGAATTGAAGATTTTGTTTAATCGCTGATATATTTTTGATCCACGTCGTATATTGGGTATATTTAAAACCTACGGTGCACAGCTTGATAGAAAGGGGACACCTGGTGGTTTAAGCACATTATTGAAATTGTATTATTTTTTATTATAGTATTAATTAGGAGACACAGACAGGCAAAACTAATAAGGCTTTATTTTAAAATAAAAAAATACTTTAGGTTAGGCCTTATTTGAATAAGAAAAAAGCTTTGGGGGTATAAATATTAAAGCCTGACAAGTACCTGTAATATATTGCTTTCCTTGCAATGTTAACTACTTGTATGTTCAAGCACTTTATTTTAACTGATCGTATATACATACGTATTTACTCTTATAAGATGTATGTAGATGAGTATAAGAAATGTGCAGAATATGACAGTTTATGGTTGGAGGTAACACCACACATATTGGAAGAGTTGTCTTGATAATGCACTGTTGGAGAACCTGCGATGCCCAAGTTTTTTTATCTCCAGGCCTTGTCAGGTATTTGAACATTCAATAAATAAAGAAACACAGATTATTAAATATAACAGATTTGTGTTTATAACTAAATGATTTTACAAATAAACACCACTGCATATTTTTTACAACTGTTACACATTGCTGCTGTAACGAAAATGTTTCAACTTTGGGATCAATACGTATATCTTATCTCAAAGATGATCGATGGCTACTGCCAGATTTTTGCAAATTTTGCCTTCTGAATTTGACAAGTGCATGTTTCAGGTTTCATCATTACAACAGGAGGTATATATATATGTGGGTATATACGCCTCAGTATATTAATTGCTGGGCCAGCAAAATTTTTCCCCATTCATTATTATAGTATTAAATGTGAGTGTTTCCTATCCCCAAAAACCTCCAGGATGTTACACAGTTTAATACTTGGCAACTTCTTAGTTATGGGAATACGAAAAACGTCTTTTAAAACTACATTTCCCAGTACAGACGTGCCATAGAGAACATGTTGTAACACCACAATAAGCCAGCCAATTGTGTAGTTTGGGGACGGGTGGAGAGGGGTACGGAGTTGGGAGAGGAGGGTGGGGACGGGGTGGACCCGTTCAATCCAGTTTTGGACAAGTCTGCCGTGGTTCCATCTCATTTCAAGTGTGTCACGCTCGGCGATAATCCAAATCACAGAGCTTGAGGACTTCCGGGGGTTTGTCAACGCGAAGCGGAGAAGATACTTACTTTCCGTGGTGTAAAATTCTCTAAAGCAACTGAGGCCTGCTCCGACCCTCGGTCCTGACGGGGGACTCCAACTTTGTGGTTTATTAATCAAGCAAATAAATAAACACAAGGCATAATTATGTGTTATTGTTGAGTAAATAACAAGTGTGTGGTTTAGAAAAGAATACAAATTAGAAGGAAAAAAAACGATGAAACATACAGATTTCAGTATTCTGGCCCTACTCTCCCCATTAACTGACGGCAACAAAGTACGGGCTCATTATTCACTTAAAAATACAAGACAAGTAGGAACAATAAGTGTGGCTTGATATTGAGTTAGAAAAAGCGTTGCATAAACGCTGGTGAGATGGATCTGGCCGGAGAGCATTTCACGCGATCCCAACTTCGTCTCTTACCA